AAAAAAAAAAAAAAAAAAAAAAAAAAAAAAAAAAAAAAAAAAAGGGTCCTCAGGATTAGATATACTGTGCCAAAGAGAATTCTAGTCCCTTTCTTCATGTAGAGGCCCATTTCTTCAGGAATCCATGGAATAAACTAGGTGAGCAGGACTCAGCGAGGAAGGTGGCAGAGGGAGGGACTGCTGACCACATCCTCCCAGTGTCCCCAGCTCCTCTGTAGATAAACCTGGCCCTCTTGTGTGGCAGGAGAACAGTCAGATCCCAATCCAACAGGCCACAGCTCTACTCTCAAAGGCAACATCTGGCCGGACAAGAAGTTCAAAAAAATACCTGAGCACAGAGTCAAGGAGTCCATCAAGGGAGAACTGGTTTGTGCTTGGCAAGATTAAGACCAGCAGAGCATGGGATGTGGAGGACCCTGAGGGTGGTATGGTAAGGGCAGTAAAAGGGATCAGATCTAAAGAAATCAGACAGGCACATCACAGTGGGCTAATGTAGAGAGGAAGTTCACCAAGATGGTGCAGTGAAGAACCTGGGATAAACTGAGCAGGCACAAGGTTCAGCTAAGGTGGCTGGTTTCTTCTGGCTTCAGGATAGGAGGACCTGGGTGAGGATAGTGAGGCAGATGCTGAGCTTACTCAGGAGTAAATGAGATGTACCCAGGAGTCAGCCAGATTCAAGGATGAGCTCTGGTGTGAGATCTGGGCTGGGACAAGAATGAGGGTTACCAGCAAGGTTAGCAATGGGGCTGTGGAAATCACATTCCCCGAGGGAACAGAGTTGATAGTAGGGGATCCTGAGAAGTAAAGAGAGCTGGCTACATGGCTTATCCCAACCTTTAGCTATAAGAAAACAAGACTGTCAGGTGGTGGCACATGCTTTCAATTTCAGCACTTGGGAGGCAGAGGAAGGGGATCTGTGAGTTCTAGGACAGTCTGGTCTACATAGTGAGTTCCAGAACAGCCAGGGCTACACAGAAAAACTCTGTCTGGAAAAACAAAACAGACAGACAAGCTGGTACTATCAGATCTGTCATGATGTTAAGAGATGTTGCAAACAAAGTTTGATAGCAAAACAAATACTGGCCAGCTCAAAAAAAGTTTTGGAATGGCATGAGCCAACATATCTGCTGACCAGTTTGAAAACCACAAAGCAAAGGGAGACATTAATGTTAGAGCCACAAAGGAGAGGCTGTCCCAAGAAGACAGTTGTCTTGAGAACTGTTTCGGGGTATCAAATGAAGGGGGACGGTCAGAGGATAGTGGATTGTTCTGCATAGCAGTAGTCTGGAGGTGAATGTCTCCAGGCTCACAGCCATCTGTATCAGAGTTAGGGTGAGAGGATACACCTTTCCACCGATGACAAATATATCCACAAATGAACCATATGTCAGAATAGGAAGGCTGGAGCTGTGTGTCAGAAGACCTGTGCCTGTGACTAGAAAGCTGGGGACTCTAACTCTGGTAGAGCCATGCAAAAGACCTTGAGCACCCCAGGGTGGCGGAATACAAGTGCCTGCCTTTCCTTAACAGGCAGATGGAGTCAGTGTACCCTTACTCCCAGCAGGCACTGGCTCAGTATTTTCCTGTACAGGTTGGGCTTAGTTAATCCTGGAACTGAAGTGAGAGAAACCTGCCCTGGGCCATAGTCAGGGTCCCCTGATAAAGCAACCCCTCAGTCAAGTCTTACTTTTAATGGGAGAACCACAAGCAAAACAGCTGCTGCCCCTGGGGACAGAAAGTTCCACCTGTATCAGATGGCCAAATGATGTTTCAGAAAACTCTGGATTCACTAGCAGTGGCCTTTAGATAGAGAACAAAAAGTCGACACAGTATCTCAGGCTCCGACAAAGATGTGTAATGACCAAATTACCATGGTCTGTCTAAAACCTCCAAGTGCATCCAAATTAGCAGAAATAATCGTGATTCACTTTAATTAGTGACTATGGAAATGAAGCCAAGGGTTGGTGGGAAGAGAGCCTGGCAGGACAGCTGCTGACTACCAGAAGGGGGCTGTCCTGGCCAATGAAGCTAGAGGTCTCAGTGGTTGAGTGTGGTCTTTGGCCTGGGGACCTGAGAGTCCATATGCTGGCTTGTACCCATGCCATGTGTGAATGGAGATGGGCTTGTCTCCTCTTCTAACCCTTGTCACAGCAATCACCACCACCCCCATGTTCACCACGTGCAGTACAAGAGGCTGAATCCCATCTGGACCTCAGGATACTGGTTCACACCCACAACACTTCATAGATGAGTAAATGTGACTCTGAGAAACTGGCCAGATCACTCAGCCTGAGCCTATGGGTTTCCTGTGCTTGATCTGGGGGCTGTGAGTTCAGTTCCCTGAAAATTTTTTTCTGGCTCCCAATTCACCCCATCAAGGGAGTGTGGATTTCCAGGGCATAAGGATTGGTAGGGGCTATGGCTCATTTTGTCATGTGGTTTGGGGACAGCTGGTGTGTAGCCCTCAGGTGGAGCTGAGGATGCCTACCTTGAGAAACAGAGCTCCCTTAGAGGCCAGGGCATCGAAGCTGCACCCATTGGGGTAACAGTGATAGGCCACATCCATGACAGGGTAGCGGCTGGCAAAGAAGAGACCGCTGTTGAGACACTTGAAATTGCAGCAACCATGGCAGCCATAGACCCCGACGTCATACAGGATGTACTCGAAGTAGCCGTGTAGCTGCTCTTTCAATTTAGCAGCTGCACGCTTATCAAACACCTCCTGCAGGCACAGGAAGTCCAGATTGGCTGGGAAGAAGGCCGAGACCTCATGGTCAAAGGCTTCATCAGGGTGTCGCCTCCTGCGGGCTGCTGTCTTCTTCACAACTGACGTCTTATACAAGAGCTTGCTGTTGACTCCTGGCTCTCCGCTGCCACCACCATCTTGCCCAGCCCGTGCCTTCACTAGGGACTCCCTGGAGGCTGAGGGACTGCCCAGGCTCCCGGAATCCCCATCTCGCTGATTATGGTTGGGCGTCTGGCCCTTTGGGACCCCACCAGCCCCATTCCTGGCTTGGCTCCCAGTAGCAGGGTCATCAGCTTCCGGTGGTCGGCCTCCTTCATCACCACCAATTCGCACAATGCAGCTGTCCTCAAGGCTGCCATCAGCCGGGTCCCCAGAGGCTGGGCCATTGGCAGCCTCTTCACTGGGGTGACGTCCACCATCCCCCTTGTATTCCACAGAGGCTGTCCTCTTAATGCTACCAGGGACAGCTCTAGCTCCATCACTGCCCTGCGGAGACACCAGGCTACTGAAGCTGGCTGCGCTGATGGAGGTGTTGGTGGGAGAATCAATGTAGATTTTGATCTGAGGCCGGGCGGCCCCATTTCGGATTCTCTGCCCAATCTCTTTGGCCCGTTCTTGGGTATTGAAAACATTGTTGAGCCTTGCAAGTGAGTCAGGAAGAAGGCAGACGTTAGCTGTGGCAAAGCAAAAGCTTTTGCCAGCCCCTGTGCCCTTCCATTCGCTAAGCAGAGCTGCCCCTCCAGCTGGGCTCTTATCCTCTAGCCGGGAGTATGAGTAGGGCCGGCGGGCAGACTGCAATGGAGACCAGAAAATGAACCCAAGAAAGGCAAAAGGTAATGCAGCCACAAACAGAGCCAGGTAGACTGGTGTGAAGAGTACAGTGCAGAACAGCTGCAGGCAGCAAGGGTCATCTGCCCTCTGGCGCTTCTCATAGGTGGTGGGTATGAAGGAGGCTACCAGCCGGTCCACCAGCCAGTAACATGGGAAGATGAGGGCCCAGGACACAGCATGGAGGGCGGACAGACAGCTATTAGGAAAGGGAGTCGTGTACAAAACCATTGCAGCTCACTGGGCGCCGCAGCCGGCCCTACTACATGGTGTCCGTGGCAGCTGCAGCACTTTCCCAGGCAGGGGTGGGCAAGCTGAGGGCAGGTGGAGGACAGGTCACCTGGCAAGATGTGACTCTGGGTAGTTAGTAGTAAGTGTCCTGCAGACATTCATGGTTCACCTCAAGGGGCCATGCTGGGATACCAAAGCTTGTTGAGAACCTGGAGAAACAGAGTGAGGGAGATCATTACTAAATTAGATTGTTCTGAAAACTAGAGAATCAGTTTTACCTGGAGTGTTTCAGGGCCAGAAGAATGCCCCACCACATTCCATTTGTCTATATAGTCTTGTTTTCTTGGAATAAACAGCTTTGTATATGGTTGTCGCTAACTGGCTGTCTTGACTCTGTAACTTAATTGCTTAAAAAAATGGCCCATGTTTACAAAAGGGCATAGCTTTATGGGTACAAAGGGGTGTGTTGCAATTTCAATTTGAGTGTGTGCCTGGACTGACACTGGCTAGAAGCAAGTAAAGCCCTGTGGGAGTCAGGGTGTGTTTGAAATGGACAGGCAGCAGCCTTGGTTACCTCTAATATGCTGCAAATATGTTTACCTTTTATCTAGTGCCAGCTAGGCCAGGAAAGACCAGAGGGGCCAAAGGTTACAGGGCAGAGGGCAGCGTGGCAGGCTGGGCAGAAGAGCAGGGAAGTCTCATTCACATGCAGCCTGATCTGACCATGGTCCAGCTTCCTGAGCAACAGACTAAGCTCTATGTCCTACTCCATGGTGCCCTGGCAGAACTCTAGCCAGGGGTACCCAGGCATAGACTGTTTCACCAGCTTTCAGAATGAAGAGTTTACCCAGTTACTCTGGACACTTGGAGAAGCTTCCTGGGGCTGTGTGGGTCTGGGTCAAAGCTTTATTAGTTCTCCAGCTTGTCTTCCAAATTACAGCTTCAGGCAAAGCCAACAGCAACCTAAATACATCTATCCTGGGTCCCTGCCCCATGCTGTACGAGTCATACTAGTTTCCAGAGCAGGCCTGACCACACCCAGACAGGTGCATTGACCGTGCTGATTACCCAGTCAATAAAGACAAGATTCTATGTTTACCCAGCCTCCAGGGACCAACACTGCTCCTCTTGAGGGGAAAATGCTCGATGAATGAGTTGCATTTTGGTTTCTAGGCCAAGCAGGTAAGTTCAATGTTTGTTTCTCTCATTGATCAACACCCCTTCCACCCCTTACACCTCTGGCCAAGGCTGCCATCATTCATCCTGGCCCCTCATTCTCTCCTCCCTCTTGAGACTTTGATCATCCAAACTAGAGACCTAGATATCATTCATACTACCCTCCCTCAGTCCTCCTGTCCTATCTGTCCTTCTGTCCCCAGTGAAGCATCTCAGTATGAGCTGAGAACAGTATCACAATTCACTCACTTTATCAGCCTCCACTTACATTGTGGCTGGAGGGACATTTCCTCAGCGGCCTGTTCACCTACTATGCTCACCTCCTACTCACTTGGACAGTGGTGCCAGGACCTCACCCTGAGGCTCTCCCATAGCTCTGCTTCTTGCTCCCTCACCCTGTCCACAGCTCAGCTTAGACATCAGCTTCTAGAGAGGATTCTTCACTTCCTTGCTGGAGTAGCTTAAGTACTTTTACTGGGGGTGCTTGTCCCCCAGAACAGTGACCTGGTCTTTGCAGTTTGTGTTTCTTGTTTTTTGGAATATACCTACCTCCCCAGAAAATGAGGTGCTTTAAGAGGGAAGGTGCTACACAAATGTTCCAGGGAGTCTCAAGGCGAAAGTGGCAGGTCCTTAAGAGATAGGATAAATGAACAGAGGTAGATCATGATGCTAGTGCCAGAGAGGAGGCAGCCATTTCCTCCAGCTGTTGGGGAGGTGGGGATTTCCCCACAGCTGTCAGCCCTGCAGCCACCATCGCCAAGGCTGATGATGGGGAGCAGGGCTTCATGTCCAAAGAGGAGAGTAAGCTGATAGCTGTGTCTAGTTCTGATGAACAAGAAGCACAAAGATTTTACTTTCCTCAAGGGAAGTCACTTTGAAGCCAACACTGGAAGGTCACAGTTTGGAGCAACAGGTGTTTTCTAGTAAGTAAGCACAGTCAAGTGAGGGCTTCTCAGGACAGTAACCTCCCACACCTGCTGCCTGGCTTGGGTGATGCCAGAGCACTATGCTTGTTTAATATCCCAACCGCTTACCAGAGGGAGGACTCCAGCTTGGAGCCAGAGCCACAGCTCACTGCTTATCCCACTTGCCTGGATGAGCTTAGCCAATTTACAGCCCTCAATGAGGAGCTGGCAGAACCCCTCCTGGCTAGAGGAAGAAATACAGGATATGGAGCTGCCCATACCAACCCATCTCTGCCAGACCTCCTGGGGCCAGAGGCAGACCCTGCAGGAGCAATGGGCAGTTGGATGGGGTCTCCTGAGGCATTCCAGACAGCAGTGGTCCCTGAATTCAGCACCAAGACTCTAAAGGGCCCCAGCCATACTCCTTGGGCCACTTGAATGTCACCTCAGAGTCTTGAACAGACTCTCTTCCAAGGCTCCCTTCCTCTTTCCCTCCGTATCACTGTTGACTAAGATCATTAGTGTCCCCCTCACATTTGTGCAGCACCCAGAAGGGTCTGCTTAACATCTCTTTACCCCTTCCCTCCCTTCCCCTCTCCCTCTGCTGACAGTCCAGGCTCATAATCTGTCTGGCCCTTTGTATTCTTGTCTTTGTGCTCTCTTCCCGCTCCCACCCTGGCTCCAGCCACAGAGTCCCCTTTCCAGCTGCAGCTGCTGCCAGACCCTCTGCACCTGCTTGCAGCTGTTTCCTGAACTCCCTTCTTGACTCCTGCCATCCCTTCTGTACCTTTTAGGGCTCAACTGAGACTTCTCTCCTTCAGGGGACACTTGCTTGACCCTGTCAAGGCATTTTGTGATCACAGCCCCTCCCTACAGCAGGCTGTCACTTGGCCTGGAGCTGGAGCTCTTTCTAGGATTCCCTCCAGCATAAGCTCCAGGAAGAGTCTATCTGAGGCCAAGCCCTGGCTCTTGGCCACCCTGTCTGGGGAGGGAAGTAACAAATGCAGAAACAACCCACTAAGGAATGAACAGATTGCTGATCTGAGTGCACACTCAGTTGGGGAAGCTTTTGTGCAGTCAGTCTCCCTGTAGTAAGGGTCAGGTTTGACCTGTGGGCAATAATGTGGGCTACATGGATGACACATGGAGAAAGTATCAGGGAGGAGGTAGGTTTGTACCTCTAAGAGCCACTGCAGTGTCCACCACAGCAACCCCATGAGTCAGGCGTTTCTTCATCAAAGGCTTCCTGAGAAAAATTACCCAATTCTGTCATCCCATGTGGCTCAACCCTGACTTTGGCTAATCAGATTGGGATTGGCTATTGGCTAGGATGGGGCTTTAGGGGATGAGGACAGAGAATCCATCTTCAGCTGCCCCCACTTTTTTTTTTTTTTT